GCCTTGATCAACATGTAAGCAAACTGGAAAAAAAACAAACAGAGCCTCTTCACAATTGACATACATAAATTGTGTGTAGAAAAACTATTCATTGGAAGCTATGAAATCCATTTGGCTGACAAGAAGAATCTCACTATCCCCTTATTTCAATCGTTATCTCCAATGTCACCATCGAGCTCCAGCTCCAAATCGTTGAAGGTCTCATCTTGTTATTCAGAAGATGACCATTCCTGCACCGATCGGTGGTAATAAAAGCAACAGGAGAGATTCCGTTGGAGGGGAGACTTCCTGCTAAGTTTCATTGCCACAGCTTCAAGTTATTCAATGGAAGTTAGCGTTTTTGGGTGAATTAAAGTATAGCCGAAGGGTTTTATAAATATGGAGAAACAAAGGGGTGTGAAAAAAGTGGAAAGTAATGAAGACAACTGATTGTTAAGAGATTGGTAACAGAGATTTCATGAAGATGAAACAGAGAAGAGGAAGTGGGAGAGACAAAGTCGCTTAATCGATGCTTTCATCGTATGTTAGGGTTCCAATTTGGGTCACTACAAATAGATTAAGCCCAACAAATAAGGTCACTATTTTCATTTCGAGAGAAACACAATGACATGATGGATAGAAACTTTATGATAGATTAATTTTCTAATCCTATGTGGCATGCTTCTCTGTTGAGAATATTTTCCTTTAATTTAATGTTTGATGTTTATATAACAAAGTAATGATGTAGTTTTGTAGTAATAACAATTTCTTTCTTTTTTCACTGAATTGAATTCTTCTAAAAGAGAAAAGTAACTGTGAGTTTGAGAAAACCAACAAACATAAGCCAGAACCATAAACAGAGCAGATCACGGCACATAGCTCATTTACACCTTCTGGCATATCCATCTAACCAAGCAGAAAAACAATCGCGTATTCAATTAGCGATTCATCCTCGTGATTTATCCACTCTTCTTCTATCAAGGAACTCATCTTCTTCATAACGCCTCGATCCACATATAGTTGAAATCTCATCGCCTTGATAACGGTATCGGCAATCAGAGAACAACACTTATTTGACGATTTTTGCATTGCAACTAAAATACCATTCTCCACCTAAGCTATGAATTACCACTTACCGCGTAGTCCCCCCTTTCCTCAAATTTGTTCAATCTGAGACCACGGCACACCAACGTTACATTTCAGAAAGTCATTGGTAGAATTTCACCATCCTCTCATTCCGTATGCTCTTCTACTGTTGCCCTGCACTTATGGTGAAGTTTGATGAGCTTCAAACCACTGTCTCATATCAGTCAATTACCTTTGAAAAAGTGGAAATTAATGAAGACAATTGATTGTTAAAAGATTGGTAACACAGATTCATGAAGGTGAAACATAGAAGAGGAAGTGGGAGAGACATAGTCGCTTAACCAATGCTTTCATCGTATGTTAGAGTTCCAATTTGGGTCACTACAAATAGATTAAGTCCACAAAAATAAGGTCACTATTTTCATTTCGAGAGAAAAACAATGACATGATGGATAAAAACTTTATGATAGATTAATTTTCTAATCCTATGTGGCATGCTTCTCTGTTGAGAATATTTTCCTTTAATTTAATGTTTGATGTTGATTATATAGCAAAGTAATGATGTAGTTTTGAAGTAATAACAACTTCTTTCTTTCATGGAATTGAATTCTTCTAAAAGAGAAAAGTAACAATGAGTTCGAGAAAAACCAACATACATAAACCAGAACCATAAACAGAGCAGATCACAACACATAGCTCATTTACACCTTCTGGCATATCCATCGAACCAAGAAAAAAACAATCACGTATGCAATTAGCGATTCATCCTCTCTTCTTCTATCAAGGAACTCATATCCTTCGTAACGCCTTGATCTACACATAGTTGAAATCTCATCGCCTTGAGAACGGTATTGGCAATCAGAGAACCACACTTACTTGACGATTTTTACTCTCTGATACTAACTCTATAAATAAGTGGAAATTTCTTGAATTAATTTATATGAAATTTGAGGGAATTGGTTACCGAATATGGACACAAATAAGAAGATGAGTTTCGTCTTTAATTATTTGCGATGACATCAAAATCTTGAAGTACTTTAGAAACAACACCAAAAGCCATCCCAAAGACATACATCAATAAGTTCTATACATTGTTATTCCTTGAAGGCCTCTTTTTATAATAACCTGAAAAGCTGAAAAGCATATATGATCTCTATGAATCCAAGTTATGTGATGGACTCATCATATTCTACTGCTAAGAATAACAAATCAAATCACTTTTTTTCACAAGAAAGAAAGAAAAAAAAAACAGGGCTAGATTTGAGTATTTTAAGGGAGAAGTCCTAATATCTCACTCTGTATATACTCCGGTGAAATCACTTGAAAGAGCCATGACCTACAAGCAACGACAAAAAATCACATGATTTGGTGTAGATGTTAAATAAGCTTCACAATAGCATGTGTTAGGATTCTGAGATGGAAAACGCAGTTGAGACTAACCATGGATCGATCATATGAAAATAATCAATGAACCCATGTTGATAGAAGCCAATAAGATAAAAGGGGAAAAGTGTTAGGACCAACTTTGAATTCAACTTGAGCACTGGGTCACCAACAACTCAATAGGATGATTCCTGTCCAGTGAGCGTTGATCAACAGGTAAGCAAACTGGAAAAAAAAAACAGAGCCTCTTCACAATTGACATACATAAATTGTGTATAGAACAACTATTTATTGGAAGCTATGAAATCCATTTGGCTAACAAGACGAATCTCACTATCCCCTTATTTCCATTGTTATCTCCAATGTCACCATCGAGCTCCAGCTCTGAATCGTTGAAGGTCTCATCTTGTTATTCAGAAGATGACCATTCCTGCACCGATCGGCGGTAAGAAAAGCAACGGGAGAGTTTCCATTGGAGGGGAGACTTCCTGCTAAGTTTCATTGCCATAGCTTCAGGTTATTCAATGGAGGTTAGCGTTTTTGGGTGAACTAAAGTATAGCCGAATGGTTTTATAAAGATGGAGAAACAAAGGGGTGTGAAAAAAGTGGAAGTAATGAAGAAAATTGATTGTTAAGAGATTGATAACAGAGATTTCATGAAGATGAAACGGATAAGAGGAAGTGGGAGAGACAGAGTCGCTTAATCGATGCTTTCATCGTATGTTAGGGTTCCAATTTGGGTCACTACAAATAGATGAAGCCTAACAAAAAGTCACTATTTTCATTTCGAAAGAAAAACAATGACATGATGGATAGAAATTTTATGATAGATTAATTTTTTTTAATCTTATGTGGCATGCTTCTTTGTTGAGAATATTTTTCTTTAATTTAATGTTTGATGTTTATATAACAAAGTAATGATGTAGTTTTGAAGTAATAACAACTTCTTTCTTTTTTTCATTGAATTGAATTCTTCTAAAAGAGAAAAGTAATAGTGAGTTCGAGAAAAACCAACAAACATCAATCAGAACTATAAACAGAGCAGATCACAGGACATAGCTCATTTATACCTTCTGGCATATCCATCGAACGAAAAAAAAAATCACATATTCAATTAGCGATTCATCCTCGCGATTCATCCTCTCTTCTTCTATCAAGAAACTTATCTCCTTCGTAACGCCTCGATTCACATATAGTTAAAATTTAATCGCCTTGATAACGGTATCGGCAATCAGAGAACCACATTTATTTGACGATTTTTGCACTGCAACCAAAATACCATTGTCCAACTAAGCTATGAATTATCACTTACCATGTAATCCCCCCCCCTTCCCTCAAATTTGTTCATCTAAGACACAGCACACCAACGTTACATTTCAGAAAGTCATTGGTAGAATTTCACCATCCTCTCATTCCGTATGCTCTTCTACTGTAGCCCTGCACTTATGGTGAAATTTGATGAGCTTCAAACCACTGTCTCACATCAGTCAATAACCTTTGATACATTATCCATTGTGGAGCACTCCCTTCTCTGAAAAATGTGAGCAATCTTATTCTTTAAGTACCCACAAAATTCAAGGGAAGATACAATTTACCTCCTCAGAACCTTTGCATTTCTTGACAAGATCATGCATGTGATAATTAAAGTTCTTGAATAGTTTCAAATTTTAAAAAACCCCTAAGTTGGAAAATAAATCCAGATTTCGAAGTATATCTAAAAATTCAAAATTTTAGATCTTTGCTTATAAATTTATTTTTTAAGAAGTAAAATTATTCAGACCCTATTCAATCATTCCACTTGCTAATGCGAAAAGGCGTTCTGGGTTTACTTTACGCCTTTGCTTTAAAATCTAATAGCCATTTAAAACCGCAGTTGCTTTACCACAAACATATAAGATTTACAGAAGAATCATTACACAAGAGCAGTTTCACTAATTAACTATCGAAATATGGTTTCACAGGAATACTATTTTCGTGTTCTAGAAGAAGTTACCACTATCAACTCTGGTCCTGATCTCCACCAACCTCTCGAAATTTCCGGCAAAATATTTCTCCCCATAACGTTTACCTTCAACATAGCTCCTGATTGTGTGAGAATTGGCTCCCAATTCAATATCCCGATAATTAAAAAACGACTGCCTTGGATTCTTGGAAACGAAAGGAATCATGAACCGGTACAACTTCCTCGTCAGTTCCATATACCGGTTCGTTAATTTATCGTCTCTCCAATCAGTAACGTACTGAATCTTACAGAGGTTGCCTGCTCTGTACGAGAATGGTGTCATCGACGACGAAATCTTTGCCATCATGCCACCGTATGGATTGAAAGCTATAGCTGTCGGAGTATCAAGCTCGATCATCTTCCTCCAAATTGATTCTAAACCGGTTCTTGAAATCGGTTCAAGAACGCAATCTGATTTCCTCTTGATATACATTAGGCCTTCATTCCTTTCGAGCAAAACTTTCTCCGACGTACCCACTTGGATATCCGTCCAGAAAAGAACCGACTGGATCCACCTTGTCTCTATGCAGTCAGACCGGACCAGACCCATTTATGGTAATCTCCGGTTTAGTATCGACAGAAGCGTTGATGCGTCTCCTAGGAATAGAGCTAAGAATGTTGCCCTGACAGTCTTTTGAGAAGAAACGGTGCCGTTTACAACTTCCATGGTTGTTCTGATGAAGATCTCATCGGGAAGCTTTGGAGCAACATGTTGCCACCGGTGAACGATATCTGTTGCGTTCTCTTCCAATGTCCTGGAGACTCTGAAAACGGTGACGGTTTCAGGAACTTCGACGAGTTTTATTTTGTAGGCTAAAACAACGCCGAAGCTTCCTCCTCCTCCTTCTCCTCCGTTGATTGCCCAGAAGAGATCCTCTCCCATCAACTTTCTATCCAAAAATTTTCCTGAATATAAAATGAAAACCTAATAAAAAAACATTTAGAAACTATAACCATGTTGACCAAACCAAATAACTTTGTCCGAATAAATTTGGTTGATTTTAGGACATTAAGTGTATGTAATACTATATACTCCCTCCGTTTCGAATTAATTGTCATTTTAGAGAAAAAAATTTGTTTTAAAATAAGTGTCGTTTTAGAGTTTCGAGGCAAAATTTATTAATTTTATATGATATTCTATTTTTTTATTGGTTGAAAAGTGGTTAAGTGTATAAGTAATTGTGTTTTTATCTTGAAAATATGTAAAATTAAATGTTTTCTTAATCTGTGTACAAATACATAAAATAACAATTAAAATGAAACGGGAGTAATATAATAGGTTACATATTTATTATACCATTGACGTCGACCATTCTTGCATCGATAGTATTATCAACAGTGAGACCGTACTTTTTTATTGGCCACCGACACCAACCATCGGACAAACTCCAGCGGGAAAAGCTAGCATTTTGCTCTTCTCCCATATATATTAATAAACCTCTCCGAGAATGGCACCACTTTGAACCCAAGCGGTTTTACTGGCTAGGTCGACATCGACCGTCTGGAGATTAAACATGTCTATGATGAAGAATCACTACAAGAAAAATGCGTTTAGCAGACCCGGATAGCATTTTTTCGCTTTCTGCTATGGTTGACATATCCGTTAGTTTTAGATAGCGTTTGCATTTTTGCAAACTCTATGATAGAGCGGCATAATTGGAAACGCTATGATAGCGTACATTTAATAGCACATAGAATAATAAACGCTATAATATCATATTTTTTGAATCCCTTAACCCTAAACAAACTTCTGAACCCTATACTCTAAAAAGCAAAATTTAAACACTAATACACTAATAATCTTTATAATATTTTATAACTTAAACTCCAAATCTTAAATATAAAATTATAAACTTAAATATTTTAAAATTAACACCAAACCTATATACATTAAATCCAAACCCTATATCATACATAATCTCTAAATCTAAAATCCTAAACTTCAAATTTGATAGTTCTAAAATTTTAATACTAAAAAATACACGTTAAAACCAAAATAGATTTATTATATGTATACTCACATAATTTCAACACAAAACCTCAAACTTTTTTTATCAAAAAAAATCCTTAAACTCTTAAACCCTAAACAAACACAATAAACTTAAAACCTTAAAATTTGAATTCTATTTGTTTTAACATAAACAAAAAACTACCAAATAATTTTATGACAAAATTGTAAACTTAAATCTTTCAAAACTTAATCTCAAACCATATATCTATTTCAAAACTTTAACCAAAAAGCCTAAACCACACATTTTGACATATATGATAGAACATTAGACCTCAAACTTTAAATAAAATATTTTTTCTATAATATATATTTCAAACTATATACAATATTTCAAATTTAAATTATAAATTTCAAAACTAAAAATAAATAACTAAATAATAAACAACACAAAAAAATCATTATAAATAAATGAAAAAAAAACAATTTTATTAGTTTTATTTTGGGCCTTTGATTAATTTTGATCCAAAGGTTTAAAGATATGTTTGGTGATCTTAGTCCTTCTTTCTTATTGGTACATTCTTTAAAATTTGGATTAATATTTCTGACCATTGATTACTTAAGATCCAATGGCCAAGATTGTATCTGTTGGGGTCAAAATCGGTACGACAGAATCAACGGCCGAAACTCCCCGCAGAAATATAAAAGAAATCGTTTTGTAAAACCCGAAGATCGTTTTATAAAACTCGAGAATAGTTTTATAAAACTCGAGAATCGTTTTATAAAACTCGAGAATCGTTTTATAAAACTCGAGAATCGTTTTATAAAACTCGAGAATCGTTTTATAAAACTCGAAGATCGTTTTATAAAACTCGAGAGTCATTTTATAAAACTCAAAAAGCCGTTTTATAAAACTCGAAGATCGTTTTATAAAACCCGAAGATCGTTTTATAAAACTAGAGAATCGTTTTATAAAACTCGAAGATCGTTTTATAAAACTCGAGAATCATTTTATAAAACCCGAGAATCGTTTTATAAAACTCGAGAATCGTTTTATAAAGATCGAGAAGCCGTTTTATAAAACTCGAAAAGCCGTTTTATAAAACTCGAAGATCGTTTTATAAAACTCGAAGAATCATTTTACGAAACCGCAAAAAACCGAAACAGCCGTAAAACGCGAACTAGTCATGACTAGTTCGCCCACGGGCGAACTAGGAGACACTCAACTAGTTCGCCCATCGGCGAACTAGGATCACTCGACTAGTTCGCCCATCGGCGAACGAAGCCGGCCTGGCTTAGTTCGCCGATGGGCGAACTAGGATCACTCGACTAGTTCGCCCATCGGCGAACTAGAAACTTCCTGGACGTCCCGAGCCTCGTTCTCCCGCATTCTCGATTTGAAACTTACGTCTTTCGACACGGTCGCGTTCTGGACCACGGCCGAAACATCTCCCGTTCCATCTCGATCCGACCTATCATTCGAGTTTTACGATAAAAACCGTAAACCTTCGCTTTCTCGATAAAGAACTCGAAGAAATCGTCTAAAACGGCGACGGTTAAACGAAACACCGAACATTGCCTAAAACATACAATATATTCGAGATTTCTCATCGAAATCATCAAAAACGCGTTTTTAATAAAAACGTCGAGTAAATCGTAAAAAACGCGTTTTTAATTAAAAAGTCAAGTAAATCGTAAAACCTTACGATTAGCTCGAGGAAATTATTAAAAACGACGTCAGATCAGGAAACGATCCCGTAAAAAGTCGAAAAACGGATTTATCGCAAAATGGCCCGGAAGGACCTAAAACGCGATAAAAACCCATCTCGCGATCTTAACGGAATCTAACCCACAGATTCGATAACGTTTTGACGGTTTACTCGCAGGAGGAAAATAAAAGTCAAGTTTGAAGATAAAAGGAAGGTTTGAAGAAAAATAGAAGATTTCCGCGGAAGAAAGGGAAGGATCGAGAAAAATGGAAAATTCCTGATATAGTCAAATCTTGGCGAAATGGAAAGACCGGGTTACCAAGGCGAGGAGTATATAAATAGGAGGTCTAGGGCAGAAGCAGACACGAGTTTTCAGAGCTTTCACCACCAAAGTTAGCATTTAGGCAATTTTCCGTTTTCGTTATCGAGCTGCATCTCAACTAGGGTTTTAGTCTTAGATTGCTAGAACTAGGAATTTCGCCGACGGCTCACGCAGCTAAGGCAACTCTCGTTGTAACCGTTCTTACGCGAATTCGGAATAATAATCCTTCTTGCTCTCAATCTCGTTTTTCTTTTTATATCTTTCAATTTATTCATATTAATCGCGTTCTTGGTTACTTGTCGTTTGCTTTCGCAGAGATCCGGTTCCTCTGGAAAATTAGGGTTTTCCTAACTTTCCTTATTTAACGGAAATCGACAGGTGTGAATTTCGGTTCCCACAGTTTGGCGCTAGAAGGAGGGGGGGGGGGTCGGATTACTCTTACTCATAGCCGCAAAACGCTTGACCAAAACGATGTCTGGATACATGAAAGACAAAGTCGCAACTCGCAAAAAGACGCTGGTAAAACAACTCCAGCAGTGACTGCTCCTATAGCCAACGCTCGCGCAAACGCTGTAGTACTCAACAAAATCGAAAACCTAATCGCGACTCTTCGCCACGGAAAGAGCAACAAAAGAAGTTCACGATTTCTATCTTAGATCACTAAGGGCAACGATAAAATCTATCAAACCCCATAGTGTTTTTCTTATTTCCAAGTTGGACAAATCTCACGCGTTAAGCAAAAGACGTTTTCCGAGAACCTTTCGGAAAAATAAAACTTGCTCTCTCAGAAACCGCGGAACAAACCGTAACTTACTCGCGAAATAAATCCTAGGATAATCGCGGAAAACCCTAGGATGTTCGCGGAAAAATCCTTAGGTGACTCGCGGAAAAACCGTAGGTTATTCGCGGCAAAACCCTAGGTTGTTCGCGGAAAAACCCTAGGTTACTCGCGGAGAAAGCCTTAGGTGACTCGCGGAAAAACCGTAGGTTATTCGCGGCAAAACCCTAGGTTGTTCGCGGAAAAACCCTAGGTTACTCGCGGGAAAACCCTAGGTTATTCGCGACAAAACCCTAGGTTGCTCGCGGAAGAACCTTAGGCTACTCGCAGAATCGGGCAATACTATCCAGCCAAAAAGACGGTGAGTTGGCCAAGCAACCTAGCTTGCCATCTTGGCGAGCTGACCGGATTTCCACCTCGTCCCAGAGGCACTGACTTTTTCCCGAGGATCCGCACAATCCAACTCATAGCTATGGTGAGCCGGACCGTACTCTAAACAATAATCACACTACTTTTCGTTTCGTCTCAATCAAAGTTTTCGTTGAGGTTTTACCACGAAAACAAGATAGCTTGATGAATCGGGACTGTGCTCGCTGACTCACCATCAGGCAAGTTGGACAACCTCGATGGATCGAAACATCTCCATCTCGAATCTTGATCGAGACGCTTTTCGTTTCGTCTCAATCAGACTTTCCATTGAGATTCTACGACGAAAACAAGTCAACTCGACGAATCGAGATCACCCGCGCCAAGCGTCTTAGCTCGACGAACGTAGAGCTAACTAGCTCGCCATACAGCGAGCTGACCCAAGCGCCTGGCTCGCCCAAGAGACGCTGACTTCGCCCCAAGGGTTCTTACAATCCAGATCGCCACACGACGAGCTGAAAGGGTTCGCCCGAATTGCCTTACGTCGAGCCGAACCAATCCTCGAGTTCTCTCGAAGTCTTGATCGCGCTGATTCTCTTTTCGTATGAACCGGAATTTCCATCGGGATTTTACGATAAAACCGCAAAGACCTGTTTCTTCGTATAAGTTCGAATCAATCGTCTAAAACGGCAACGGTTGACTTAACACCAAAGTTGCCTAAACTATACGAGAAATCTGAACTCTCTAAACCTAATCCGATTTTACGAAACTCTGCCACGCTAAGTCGAAAACATCCAATCATAAACACGTGACTGATTTTTTCGATATACAAAGCGCACCTAGTCGGTCAAATAAAACCAGCAGTATGAAGAAACAAGAACACGAGCTCCGATGGTTAAGTCTTCTCCCCGCTCCGATACTCTCGCTGGTAATTCGTCGAAGACCGGTAGGTCAAAAGATGAAGAACGAAGAATAGACGACCCCAAATCATCGATGAAGCTAAGGTATGTCCGATTCGAAAAGTTTATTAGACTTCTAATTTCTTAGGTAAGAAACGAAAACGTCTTGTAAACTGCCAAGAAACCTAGAGAACTTAGAATTTAGAAGATAGTCTAACATGCTAAGTCGTAAGTAATTTTTGTCTATCTCGATTTGTTGTTCTCTAACCATTCATGCATAACTTGCAAACCGATCCAATCTCTCGTACAACCGAGAAACGATCGCCACGCATGTACTCATTTCCTAAAAGAAAGAAGGAGCTAGAGACGCTGACGTCGTCTTAAAACCGACTCGCTCCTAGA